CTTCCTATGCAATGGATTAGGGCTCTTAACCTTGTCCTTATTTTGTATTAATGATATTTAGAGTTCTAGATTTCAGGCTAGAAATCTAAATATCAGTCATTTAAAAAAATAGATCTTTGGTCCATCTTCAGTCTGGTTTTGTATATGGTGTGAGACGTGGGCTCTGTTTCATTCTGTAGAAAACGGGTAGCCAGCGCTATGAAAGAGAGCAAACTTGTCCTCATTTATGTGTTGCGGCCCTTTATCCACGATCAGTTGTCTGTAGGTGCATGGATTTACTTCTTGGTTCTCAATTTTGTCTATGCATCTATCGTTGTGCCAGGATCAGGCTAATCTGACTCTCATAACTGTGTAGTAGGTTCTGAGATTGGGAAGTGAAAGGGCTCCTATGTTCTGTAGGCAGGCTTGCTTTATTTATCCATATAAAGTTGGTGGTGGATTTTCCCATAGCTTTGAAGAATGATGTTGGAATCTGGATGGGGCTTGTGTTTTACCTGTAGATCACTTTGGGTAGTAATAACATTTATTTACAACATTAATCTTTCTATCCACGATAAAGATAGCCAGAGAAGCAGAAGATCTGTACCGTCACTTACAAAACACTGTACGAAATCAAAAGACACCCACAGACGAGGAAGACTATACCACTTAAAGTACCAGAATAAGCATCAGAGAGCCAAGAGCCCTGCACCCCAGTTGTCTGAGGAAGACTAGGGAGCAGCTCACTCCTTGGGATGGATCCAGGGACAGGGCCTTTTAAATGGTGGTGTTGATGGCGTCAACCCCGGGACCAGCTGTGGCACTTGCTTGCTCACTGGTTCCCTTTTGGGATCTTTACCTTTGGCATAGAATAATGCAGCTATATGCAAATATATGCAAATGAAAATGCAAAAAAATGAGTATCCCAGACTCAACCCTGTCCTCCCTGCGGCCCCACCCGGATCCCCAGGCTGTGAGGGCCCTGTATGTTGAAATCAGTGAACACCCCCTTCCCCATCCCGCACCCCCTGACTCTGCTGTGCTTGCCTGAGTGAAAAAGCAAAGGCCTTCAAAGATGCGTGATTCCTGAATGAGGTTGGACATCGGATGTGGTTTTGATGAGGGTCTAAAATTAGCTAGAGACGGATGATGGATTACAGGATACAGCTGGCAAGGAGAGCGCACGAGAGACGTGCCCCCCTCGGCCCCCCCATCCCCTGCAATTAGCCGCTTCCATTCTTTGCCTGTCCCAGGTAACCTCTTGGGGACCGTCCCCCTTCAGGTGGCATGGAGTCACGATGCGGATTGCGAGCCCTGGCACACAGGTGGCGGCGGCCGAGGAGCCCGAGTGGCAGCGTCCGTGGGATCATTTTTTTTTCAAACTGAAATATGCAGTACTGTCTTCCGCCTGCGCGAAGCTTGGGTTCGCCTCTTAGCACACCCACGCTCGGTCCTCCCCTCCTCCCCGCCGCAGCAGGCCGCAGCCCCTGGCCCCGCCCTGGGCCGCACCGACCCCTGTCCGGGCGCCCACCC